TTTTTTTTTTTTTTTTTTTTAAAAAAAAACATGTACAAAGTTAAATTTTTGTTTTGATTTTTTGGGCTAGATTTGCAATGTGATGGAGATTGGTCGGTTTCGACATTTCGACCGAAACTATTCAACCCGAACATGTTCGGTTGCAAGCATCCAGCAGGTCGAAATCAGGCTCCTCCATAGCCAACCCGAGATGGTCAATTTGGGTGACGGATGCATGTCAAAACCGGTCCGACTTGACCTGTGAACACCCCTACTAGAAGTCTTGCTCTCTTGCTATTTTCTTGAGGTAGGATTACTTTTAGCTTTGTATCTTCTTATTTTGAGAATGATTATTTGGTATTATTGTGGCATTGATACTATAATTAAAATTTTGAGTTTGCAAAATTGGGTTTTGTTTCAAAAATGAGATTTCCTCTACTTTCTTTTGAGATTTTTATTAATGGCTATGGATTATGGAGATTTTAGTTTGAAGATAGCCTTTTACATGGTTTATGGGCAAAAGTCCCAAATTTATGAAAACTCTAGTTGTCAAATTTGGAGAAAAGATGAAATTGATTTCAAATCTTTAAGTTGATGAATGGATTATGATATTTTAAATATGTATTGCTTGAGATTTATGAATTTGAAAGCCTTTGAGATTTTTTCTTGGAAATATGATGATTATGTATCTATAATAGTGCAATTATTTGCATGGTGATATTTAGCTTTGTTCTCATGGATGTATAAATACTTGGAATTTGTGGAAACATTGGAAATGTTGTTTTAAGGGGGTGGTAAATAGCATGTGAGTTTGGGTAAAGAGTCGCTTTTGAGAAGAGTTGTGTGTTGTTGGTACCCGCATGGGGAGTCAGGGTGCCCAATTACCCTGTCTTGAGCTTATCGTTGAACGAACGTGGGAAAATGTTTTTTGGGTGTCCATTGGTCCTACCGTATTATAGCTGGTAAAAGTGAAAAAATGAATGATTTTGGATGCCCATGTCCTGCCGTATAATAGCCGGTAAATGTGAGGATAGTTTTCAACAAAAGTGACTTGTGTATGTGATTTAGGACTCTCTTTAGGACCTTCATAGTATATTTACCCCCCGATTTTGAAATGTGATTTCTCATGGAAATGATAATATTTGATTTTTGATGCTTAAACATTTATCATGTGTTTAAAAGGGAAAATGTTTTGGTTGTGATAATGCCACATGGATTTTTAGATAATTAGATATTTTGTTAAAAGTATTTCTAATGGGCATCTAGTTCATTCCTATCTAACATTTCAGGAATTGTTGGTGTGATTCCGTTCAAGTGACAAGGCGGTGAAGATTTTTGAACAGAGCACGTGGGCTCATTGGTTGTTAATTGTTGAAGTTTCGGGGCTAATGTGTATTGGGATCATGTGTTCATTTTGTTGTACCAAGGCAATGCCTTGTCGTTTGTATGCAATTAAGGCATTATTATTTTTATTTTCTAGTTTCTTGGATTATGTAAATGTTATTATTACAAGGACAAGAACATGAAAATTGTAATATTTGATATGTGGATCAATAGAAAAGAGGACTTTTGAGATTATTGTAATTATTGGTTTGGAAAGATATCAGATTAATCAGATTAGGAGTGATGTTTTAACTTAATAAATTTGGGGGCGTTACAGATAGCAATCCTAAATGGATTTCATGCAAACAGAAGAAGCATGAAAGATGTGAATGCAGTAAAGTAGTAACCATCAAGCCTAGTCGCCTTGATACGAAAAGGGTAAAGTCATAGCCTCCAAGCTTGATCACCTTATGGTGAAGAGGGTAAAGTCGTAGCCTTCTAAGCCCAAGTGCACTTCGTGCAAAATGGGTAATAGTTGTAGCCTCCCAAGTCTAATCACCGAGCAGTGAAAAGGGTAAAGTCATAGCCTCCTAAGCCGAGGTGCACTTCGAGCAAAAGGGGTAATAGTCGTAGCCTCCGAAGCCTAATCACCTGGAGGTGAAAAGAGAAAAGTCGCAGCCTTCCAAGCCCAGGTACACTTCGTGCAAAAGGGGTAATAGTTGTAGCCTCCCAAGTCTAATCACCTGACGGTGAAAAGGGTAAAGTTGTAGCCTCCCAAGGGATTTGTGACCTACTGAAAAAAACTTTGTAGCTTGCAAAAAGAGAGGTGTGACAATTCGTCCTAAGTGACCGCTCGAGCGGTGAAAAGACCGCTCAAGTGGAGATGAGGTGCTCCTAGTAGTTCGCTTTGCAGGTCGAGGGACCGCTCAAGTGATAAAATGGTCGCTTGATCGAAAAAGAAAGGGTCCTCAGTATCTCGTTTTGTAGACAAAGATACTGGGAGATTTCATTCACCGCTTGAGCGGCCTACGCGATGTCAGTCACTTAAAAAGTGACTTTTAGGTCATTTTCTTCACTTTTTCTTTTCTCTTTTCTTTCCTCTCTCTCTAGCTTCGAAAACCCTAGATTGATCTCTTTAGAAATCTCCCATTTTACTTAGATTTGCAACCATTTTCGTTACAAAAGTTGGAGTTTGGGTGAAGATCAAGTTTTTCCATCGATTCGATTTTTTTTTCTTGAGGCATTCTTCTTTTGGCTAGTTTCTTTGCTTTGATATTTGAGATATGATTACTTTTAACCTTATATCTCTTTGATTTGAAGTTGTATATGTGGTATTGCCATATATACTAAAAATTAATTTAGTAATAATGAATAAATAAATAAATGTGTAAAAGATTTATCAATTTGATATAATTTTATTTTTAATGGGTATAAATAATTTTCAAAAATTCAAAAATATTTTTTTGATATTTATTTTTATTAAACTAGTTTATATTTTATCAAATTGACAATTCTACCCTTAAAATTAAGTAATGGTATTTGAAATTGTCCTTGTTTGGAACGTAATTCAAAATTAAGGGTCAAATGTATCACAATTAAAAAATCAGGGACTAAAGTGACACCCAAATTATAGGAACCGTTAGTGTAATTCACCTATGTAAATATAATATAGTTATATTTTACCTATATTTTATACATATTTTTATTTAATTTTTAAATTTCTATCCAAATCCGTAAACGAAAGACATCAACTCTAGTTATTTAACAAGAAAAGGGAAGCACGAGCTTGTTTATTTTGTAATTTTTAGGAAGACAAAAAAAAAAAAAAAGAAATAAAAGAAATTACAATTGAAGAAAAAAATATGAGTAATCATATTACCTGAAATGGAAACAGGTTGAATCGGATGCTTGAATTATGAATCTCGTCTGAAAAACCCTTCGTCGTTAATTGAAAAGCTATCAGCATTTCTCAATGTATTAACTATACTCCAAATCCCTACGTTCTACAATGGTGACCAAAGAGAGAAAAATATTTTATGTAGAGATTTTTTGGGTAGAACACATATATTATTTTTTTTATATCACATATATAGAGATTGCCTGTTAATAGAGGTAGAGTTATAATTTCCCACAACAACTCAAATACCTCCCAAAAGAATATCTTATTTATAAATCATGTGAATTATTAAGGCCAAGTTTGGCATGACCTAAATAATATAAAAAGTCAAAAAGTCATTATCCTATTTATTTAAGTCACATCATCTTATTTAAATCACATCACCTCTCTAACACATCACATCAAACCCAACCCAAACCCAACACATATAAGCCAATAAGTCAAAAAGTGCACTTTTTTAGAACATCCCAAACTAACCCTAATAACCCATATCAATGCTTTTAATTTGTTAACAAAAAAAAAAGTCTAAAAAACTTATCAATTTGATATAATTTTATTTTTAATGGGTATAAATAATTTTTAAAAATTCAAAAATATTTTTTTGATATTTATTTTTATTAAACTAGTTTATATTTTATCAAATTGACAATTCTACCCTTAAAATTAAGTAATGGTATTTGAAATTGTCATTGTTTAGAACGCAATTCAAAATTAAGGGTAAAATGTATCACAATTAAAAAATCAGGGACTAAAGTAACACCCAAACTATAGGAACCGTTAGTGTAATTCACCTATGTAAATATAATATAGTTATATTTTACCTATATTTTATACATATTTTTATTTAATTTTTAAATTTCTATCCAAATCCGTAAACGAAAGACATCAACTCTAGTTATTTAACAAGAAAAGGGAAGCACGAGCTTGTTTATTTTGTAATTTTTAGGAAGACAAAAAAAAAAAAAAAGAAATAAAAGAAATTACAATTGAAGAAAAAAATATGGGTAATCATATTATCTGAAGGGGAAATAGTTTGAATCGGATGCTTCAATTATGAATCTCGTCTGAAAAACCCTTCGTCGTTAATTGAAAAGCTATCAACGTTTCTCAATATATTATCTACACTCCAAATCCCTACGTTCTACAATGGTGACCAAAGAGAGAAAAATAGAGAGAAAAATATTTTATGTAGAGATTTTTTGGGTAGAACACATATATTATTTTTTTTATATCACATATATAGAGATTGCCTGTTAATAGAGGTAGAGTTATAATTTCCCACAACAACTCAAATACCTCCCAAAAGAATATCTTATTTATAAATCATGTGAATTATTAAGGCCAAGTTTGGCATGACCTAAATAATATAAAAAGTCAAAAAGTCATTATCCTATTTATTTAAGTCACATCATCTTATTTAAATCACATCACCTCTCTAACACATCACATCAAACCCAACCCAAACCCAACACATATAAGCCAATAAGTCAAAAAGTGCACTTTTTTAGAACATCCCAAACTAACCCTAATAACCCATATCAATGCTTCATTAATCCAATTTCCAATAACAAACATAAAGGGTGAGCTGCGGTGCTTAAATTGCACCCATATTTTGTTTTTATGTTTTCTTTTTGGAGAATTCTATGGCATCTCATATCACATAGCTTTTAGTTATGTTAATTAATTTTTTTTCTTTAATTATATTATTATTTTAAAATTTTAATTAATTTTTTTTTTTTTATATTTAATCACTACTCAAAAAATATATATTATAAAGGGGATATATTCCTTTTTTTTCCCCTCCCTTATTTGTACTCTCTTCTATGTCTGATTGATTCAAAAGTCAAGTGACAGCCATGGAAGTGAGAGGGGACGAGTCAACGGAATTGGTAGTGGAAGAGTGGAGTGGCTCTTCATCGACGAAGCTCTGCAGAACAGCTATCATCACTGCTTCTTCAACCTCTTCTTCTATCGCTATTCGAAGATCAGGCAGCCGATTCAACCAGCTCTGGACACGGATTCTTCAAGCATTCGTACCCGAGGCAATCTCTTTCTCTATCGATTCTTTTCTGGGTCTTCTTTCATTCATTTACGTTTTGAATTTGGAAGGAAGAAGCTTTCACTGACTGATTTAGAGAGTTCAAACCTTATTTGGATTGAATTTTGAAATGAATTCATTCTAAATGGTTGAATTTGCGTTCTAAAGAAATACTGCATTCCAAATTTAATCCATGTGCATCTTTGTCTGTCTCTCCATTTGTATATATGTATGTATGCACAAGCATTTTGAATAAACTGCAATTTACTTCGCGATTGATGCGGTACAGCCAGCCTGTTTTGTTGGTCATAGAAATGTTGTTGGTTGTGGGAATTGAATCATTTCATCTTGAATTGACACTGAAAATTCTTCAAATTTATACTAGTCCAAAATTTGCAAATTTCTACACGAGTTAGTTCAAAATTTGTGTAGATGCTGAGCAGAGTAGATTTTGGATCTTCTAAGTTTAAATCATGTAATATTTCAAAGGAAATAAACAAATTTTAAAAAATTCACCGAAAAAATGGATCTTTCAGGTGTTTTATTTTTGCAGCCTCACACATCTTATTATCTAATTTGTTATCGAGTCAATGCTAAAATGGCACAATTCACTTTGTTGTGTTGTGACAACCAAATGGGCCCTAATGAAAGCAATGATGAACAGTCGGGAATACACGAAGACAAGAACTGCTTAACAAAAAAGGAATATTGATGAAAAAGAAAAAAAGAAAGAGAGTAACCATCGGACAAAATGTAACCGTTATGTACAAAATTCTGAAATTGAAATTGAAATAATGGTGAAAGTCAGCAACTGCAATTTAGAAAGAGAACTTTTAAATTCTAGAGACAGAATGCCGCAAAACAGATCCCTCATTTTCCATTTTAAATTTCTATTATACTATCTTCTGTGATATGTTTGTTCCAATTCCATGTAAATTCAGGGATTTCCAAGCAGTGTGACTCCAGATTATCTTCCTTTTCAAATATGGGACTCATTACAGGTTAAGAGTCAACACACGAAAACTATATTCATTAAGTCAATTAAACTTAAAATTTATATTTAACAACACTTTTAAGTCTAAAATATTTTGTAGGGCCTTTCCACTTACGTGAGGACCATGCTTTCTACCCAAGTAAGGTCCTTTTTTTTTTTATTTTTTTTTTCGTATTGGTGTTTTTAAAACCTCTTAGAGGCACTATTATATGATAGTTTATGAACTGTTCAATACTTTAATAATTTTTAGGCTCTTTTGAGTGCCATTGGGGTTGGGGAAAAATCAGCTACTGTTATTGGGGCCACATTTCAGGTAATTTCTTAATCCTGCCAAAAACTTTTATCAAATGTCCATCTATGTTGATTTTGTTTTTTATCTTCATGTTGAAAATTATTTCTACATGTTGAAATTGTTGCAGTGGTTTATGAGGGATTTAACTGGAATGCTCGGAGGGATCTTGTTCACGTTCTATCAGGTCCTGCCGTCCTTCACTTCTATAATTGTCTTGAATATACTATGGGCCACCTTACACAATGCATATGTGTGCCTTATCATAGTTCATCTCCTTCCATGATTGTCCAAGTCTGGAGTGAGATTTGTGTAGTAGTGGGGATTAAATTTTCCCCTTTCTTTTGCCCCATATGGAAATTTCATGAGGATTGTCATTTACGTTTTCACTTTGTTCTTCTCCTATATATATATGGACAAATGTGCAATTAATCAAAACCAACAACATTACTAAATTCCACATCCTTTTGTTAGTGTACTCGTTACTTGTGGCCTACCTCTGTTTTGCACAATGCACAATCTAGATATAGCAGTAAGTGTAGTTACTAGTTGGGTGTTTGCCTATGAGCCAGTGAGTTTTCTGTATCAGGGGAGGACAGTTATTTTTTTAATAGTATTTAATGGTTTAATTAATCAGACCAATAGACGACAATAAGACTTCTGGTTGTATCTCTTTCAGGGTTCAAACTTGGATAGCAATGCCAAAATGTGGCGTTTAATTGCAGATCTCATGAACGATCTTGGTATTATTCCACTCATTTTTGTTGAATTAATTCTTTAAAATTTTTGTTTGACAACACCCCCGCCTTCCCCTTCTCCTTTTCGTTAGTGCACCTCTGTTTGTTGCTGGGAAGTGTGGCTGTAGTTTTTTCAATATATGGGATCTGAGAAAATAACCTCTACTTGATTAAAGCCTAATTAAACCGTTTTCCTTAGCCAAAGTGATTTTCATTCCTCATTGAACACAACGTCATAGAATTTGCAACCTAAATTGATATATGTATTGTTTTCCTAGTTATCTCAGCAAATTGGCAAAGTTAAAAAAAGAAAAATTCTCCTTTCTCAGCAACCAATTCAAGTAACATGAACTTTTCTTTCACCATGTTAAGCAGAGATGCCTCTATTATTTATTTTGTTTAAGTTGACATTAATTCAGATCATTATTTCCTCTCTAGTGACTAATTTGTAATGGGGCTCACTATTTAGAAAAAACTGAACTGTGTCAAACATTTCTTGTAACTATTCAAGAAGTCATAATGCTAAATACTTATGAGGGGGGTTATCTATTAAGTATTTGCTGAATGTTCTCCTGGCTGGAACTCTAGTTTCATCTAGAGTTGTTGCCAACTTGCCATATAGTTGGCTACAATCTTATTTTACCTCTCATTATGTATGCCTTGGGACAATATGATAGGGCATTTTATTGATTGCAGGAATGTTGATGGACCTTGTTTCTCCTTTATTTCCTTCAGCATTTGTGTTCATAGTTTGCCTGGGGAGCTTATCAAGATCCTTCAGTAAGTTATTTGTCCCCATGCGCATGTGTACTTGGAAAATCAATTAAAATCAGCTGAGACCTCGAATTAAATTTCGTTGACGCTGCCCTACTGCATGCACTAAATTATATTGGTTCAGTTTGTGTATTTTTTTTTAATGGAAGATCTCTCGCTCTCTCTCTCTCTCCAATGCTCATACAGTCATATATACAAAATTAATTGCATAACCAAAACAGTCTTTGAATTAAGTTATTTGGGCTAATCAACACTTGCTTGCTTCTATATATGATATCAACACAACTCTTATACCAAGTGACACGATCTGCATGACGGTGCACAATGAAGTCCCACATCATTTGGGTGCAAAAGGGATGCCGAGTATATAAGCATGAGCCCTCACTTCATAAGCTAGCTTTTGGGATTGATTTTACCCAGGACCATGTCACATGTTATCAGAGTTTGATGTACTGTGCGGATGACTAGAGTGCATGTCTAGAGCCCTACTCACTAGGTATGAGGGAGGGTGTGAAATCCCACATTGCCTAAGTACAAAGAGGATGTGCAGTATATAAGCATGATAGCACCCTCACTGCTTTCAGGGTTAAGTTCTACCGAAGACTGTGTCACATGGTGTATCAAAGTTGGATGTACCACAGGGATGGGTAGGGGGTGTGTGTACTAGGAATTGCACGCTAGGCGTGAGAAAGGGTGTGAAACAAAGTTCCATAACGTCTCTGTACAAAAGGGATGTGCAGTGTATAAGCAATAGGGTACTCTCACTTAACAACCTAGTTTTTGGGCTGAGTTCTAGCCAAGAGTCAAGACCATGTCCATAGTTGTCAAATTGAGAATCGTATCGTGAATCAAAATTTTAATTCTTCGAATCACGAATCAAATCAAATCGAGAATTGTTAAGATCCAATACAAACTGTTAAAAAAATATATGTTATCCACAAATATATGAAAATGAATGAAATATGTTGATCCTGGCATATGCTATAAAATAGTTCTTATATAATATAAGGACATGATTACATCATCGAATTGGGAAGACTTTACCTTCATAGTAACAAATGATGGGTGTTCAAATCCCACAAACCATAAAATTATTCAAAAACCATACTATAATATCTCGTAGCATTCAAAAATTGGACCTAGGAACCTTATATAGAGTACAATAAGAACAGAGAATTAAGTTGAATCCTTTTATTTTAAATATGCTTATTGTCAAAATATATATATATATATATATATATATATAATTGTTGAACCATTGGGTCTGATTGATTTGACCCATGTAATATTGAATCATATGTATTTCACTGAAATGGCAATAGATTATGGATGTTAAGTTTACTTTGATCTTAAGCATCTTTAGAAGATGTATTACGACATTTTTTTGAAGAAAAAAAGTTAAGAACATGTTGGGTTGAATGAGATCTAATTTGACCCCTATTAAAAACCCTCTTATCACCAAAATAATAGCAAATCATGCATGAGTATTGCTTATTTTTGTACTAAGCACTCTTAAAAAGAAACAAAATAAAGCCAAAAAAAAAAAGGGTAAAAATTTGTCGAATATGATAGTTTCAAGAATTGCATAAATCTTAGAAAGTAAATCGGTTGTGAATTGTGCGATTCACTATAGATTCGATCCCAAAATGGATTCCCTCGTATATTCGTATCGATCTATGAGAAATTGCAAATCGAATCGCAAATCCTAAGATTCTGATAACAAAAACTGTATCACACACACATATATTATAATAAAAGAATCATTCTGATATTCTTTAACTTTGGAAGTTTTGCTCTAGTTGCCTGCTTTTTTCCGTTGCACAATATATTGAATGCATATATGAATTTTTTATTTTTTTATTTATTTTTTTTTTAAAAATTTTTTTAGTAAGCCATAAAATAGAACAAAAGAATTTACACATTTAAAATGTGTATGCCGTAGGCAAATATAGAAGGACACAACTACCTCTAAACAAAAAGAAAACAACTATGACACTACCATAAAAATGATGAGAGTACTTAGTCAAGTGTGTCTCACACTTGATTATTGTAGGCTTCCATAGTAGGATAGTATTGTTCTTGTAACTGCTTAACTAATTCAGTTAGATAGTTAGCATATCAGTTAATAGAGACGGTTAGTAGATTGTATAAATGTGATGTAATACATTTGTATTAGGCATGGAATATAATATACAGAATCTATTTTTCTCTTTATCTTTTCTCTCATCTTCTTCATGGTATCAGTGTTGTATTGAGTTAAGTCATTAGGTTGGCTTATTGACTTAACTCATTGGGTTGGCTCAGATTCTAGAAACCTTGCAACTTGTGGTTCTAGAAGCTGGAGTTGTAGCACTAACTTGTAAGCAAGTTGGCAAGTTGAAGTCATGAAGAAATACACTTTTGTCCCCAAGAATTGGTGTATAAATAGGGATGCCAGTAGAGGGCAAGAAGCAAGCAAGTTAAGAGCAAGTAAGCGAGTAATCAGAGTGTGAGTTGAGTTAAAGAGTGTCGTCTCCTCCTCCTCCTCCTCCTCCTCCTCCATTTGTAATCTAATTTTGTAATTTTCTTCCTCCGTTTAGTGAAATTCGCTCCCATGGACGTAGGTACATTGCCAAACCACGTAAATCTTGTTTGTTTTGTTTGTGGGTGTGTTATTGGTGTTTGTTTCTGGCCGTGGGTACAACAACTGGTATCAGAGTACCCAGGTTGTGAAATAAAACTCTGAAGCTCTTTTTGTCAAATATGCCTAGAAACCAACTTTGTTCGACAAAACTTTTGAATACACCTTTGAGTTCGTCTCGATTTCAGGAGTTCAACGGTGCAAAAATCAAGTCGAACTGACCCTAGATGCTCTTCCACGAGCCACCTAAAGTTTTGCGTGTCCCACATGCGTTTCATGTGTCTTCTTCAATGGCCTGGTTCATCATGACTTCAACATGATGTAGTAGATGACATCATCAACCACAGAACTCCAGTTAGCACCCAAGAACAGCCATGTTACCGCCATGTCAACACTAGCACATCCTAATCCGTGCCACATGTTTGACACATCATCACTTATGCCACGTCATTAGTAATTTCAGAAATTTGCATTTTGGTCCCTGAATTTTATTGAAATAGCATTTTGCCCCTAAACTTTGGTAAATTGCATTTCCGCCTCATTTATTTTTGAAATTTCGTTTTGGCCCCATAACTTGGTTGAAATTGCACTTTGACCCTCAAAGTTTTTTTGTATTTGTAGTTTAGCCCTTGATTTTTTGAGAAATTTTAGTTTGGCCCATAAAAAGGTAGGGAAGGGTATTCTTGGCTAAACAGATAGCTCTGGACGCAATTGTGGACTCCGTTTTTTAAGATTTGAACTCGAAACTTGTGTAAAAACTTTGGGAGCATAGAAATCGCCGTGTTTCGGGCATTTCTAAGGATCTGTTATTGTTATTGCTTGTGGTGGAGATTACAGAAATTCTAATGGCAGAAGCTGCAGCACCAAAGGCAGCCAAATCTTCAATCAGCTGTAGGCGAAGGACTACAGTGTCCAACACAAAGTTTGAGGTGGAGAAATTTGATGGAACTAACAACTTCAACATGTGGCAAAGTGAAGTTATGGATGTTCTCTACCAGTAAGAACTCGACATCACTTTGGAAGTCAGATCGGTTGATATGAGTGATAAGGAATGGACACAGATGAACCGCCAAGCTTGCGGCACAATCCGATTGTGTCTAGCCAAAGAACAAAAGTACTTCGTCATGAGAGAAATTTCTACGAAGGAGTTGTGGAAGAAATTGAAAGAGAAATGCATGACTAAGAGTGTAAAGAATCGACTCTACTTGAAGAAGTAGCTCTTCCGTTTCCACTACAAAAGATGTACTTCAATGATAGAACATCTAGATGGCTTCAATAAAATTCGTGTCGATTTATTGAATCTAGATGTTGAAATTGAAGATGAAAATAAAGTACTGTTGTTAAATTCCTTGCCTGACAAGTATTGATCACCTGACAACCACATTACTGTATGGAAAGGAAAAAAAAATAGTTTTATGGAAGTTTTTAATGCTTTAGTGAATAGTGAGTACAAGAAGAAGGATAAAGAGACTTGCAGTGCAACATTTAAGTTAAGTTTTGACAGTTAGGGGTAGATCCCGTTCGAAGTTGGCAGGAGATTCAACCGATAGATTTGATCCCATGAAGGATGAGTGTGCCTATTGTCACAAAAAGGGGCATTGGAAGAAGGATTGTCCAGTTTTGAAGAAGAAAGAAAATGATAATTCCAATGCCAATGTAGTACAAGATGATTCTGATCATTTTGAATTTGCATTTTAGGTGGCCTTTAGTCACTTGTTGACCTTTAAAGATCTGCATTTGTTGATTTGAAGAAGATCTTGTGGCAATCTACTTTAGATCTTGGTAGAAGCTTTGGCGTCCTTTTGCAGCCTCTTAGAGGCATTGGTCTTGTATAGATCCTTGGCGACTTCTTTGAAGTCTTGTTTTTGTTAAGTTTGTTTATCTTGGCGAGCTAGGGTTTGGGTTTTGTCCCTCTTTCTCTTTTATTTTGGGATCTTTGTTTATGTTTAACTAGATCCATTAGAGTCTCTTTATGAGATTTGTTTCTTGACTCAATTTAGGTTTTTTTTTTTTTTTTTTTTTTTTTTTTTTTTTTGGGATTTAGTGAGAGAACTTGTATTTTGGGATTGGTTAGAGTAGTTTTGTGTTCGGTATTAAATCAAACTTGAAGCTCACCATTTTGAGTTCCTTTGTTGGAAATTTGAAGCTCTCATTAATTCGGGATTAGTCTCCTCAAGATCAGGTCAAGTGGTTTGTTCATCATGGTTTGTTTGAAGTTGTCAAAAAGGACTTGTTTGGCACTTTTGGAACTTGGAACTTGGCACCAAGATGGCGTTTGGAATTTGATTCCTTATTGCAGAATAATTAGAAGAATTGGTTCAATTCATTCTGCAATTTGTCTTGGATTGGCTCAATGCATCTCAGGCATTCACTTGGTTCATTTGTC